CGACCAGTTGTCGATTGGCTCTACCGGAAGATTCATGCTGGCGCTGTTTCCGAGGCAATCTCCATCGATTCCGGTGAACCATCACTGTGGGTTTCGTGCATAATCAAATACAAACAGTCATATACACATACAGAGACAGACACACTCACAAGCTTCGAATTTGACTTATGACCGTAACTAACCAAATCACTTTATACCTGATGTAGGCCAGATGTAGAGTATATATTTTTCGCATTTGAGTAATGTTTAGAGACTTACAGTAAATCAATAATATGAGATATATTCACCCAATTTCATTTAAGGTGATGAGTATATATACTACTTTTTAGGGATTTTCCGGTGAGTTTTCTCAACTCGCTAGCTTGAATTTTGTTTTGACGATGTTACCTCGCTCGGATGATGTCCGTCATATGACGGACGAAAGCTTAGCAGCTTTTCACAAGAATCGAAGGAGATTGCCTCCGAAACAGCGTCAGCATGAATGTTTCAGTAAAGCCAATCGACAGCTAATCAAGAGCAATCCGCCGTCGTCTTCTGGTGGAACCGACCTTCGAATCTCTTCACCCAACACTTTTACTCTAAATGGAAGTAAGCTCAACGATTAAGGTATGTCGCAAACCCCAACACTTGCCATTAATGATCTCTTAGCAAGGGTGACACTATGCCGTAATAAAATGATGTCTGCAGGTCACTTGGCTTCCCGGGCTGCTAGGGATTTGGCCAATTTCCTTGACAGATCAAATGCCCACCACCTCTCTTTTTTTGTCATATGTGCCTCTAATTTTCTGTGTACTCCCCACCTAATCCCACAGGTAGAAAAATTCCACGAAAGTATGCAAAGTCAAGTTATAGAGTTCAGTATACTAGCAGACTAGACGAGCCTCTTCTCACACCAGCCTCAGTGATCCAGAGTTTGGCAGCCGAAAAGCGTTTAGATCAGATGAACACATCAAATTTGCACGCTAATAACATATGCCAGTGGATCATTCCTCTTAGAGCTGTATTATTGAATTCGTTTACCAATTCACCCGAAAAGGACGCAAGGATTCCGACTTTGTCAATGTTGGTTGATGCATTCTTAATCTCGGGAGTATTTAATGCCGTATACCGAATTGGTATTTTGTCCCAGCCGAACTGATGACTTAAATTTTCCACTTGAAAGTTGTGCTCATGCGTTTCACAAAGTTCTCTTTGTTCAAGGTGTCGCCTAGGGTGCAGGTAGAATGCCTAAAAATGCATCAGGTTTGAGAACAGAGTTAGACGGAATACATGGGTATAACATTATAAATGTGCTCTCTGAAAGTTTCCAGCCAAAGCTTCACATGTTATCTGCTTGAAAAACAGATAAGCAGTGAACCAGCTAAAAGAAGGGTCAGCTTCTTCTAACTGAATGCGCGGACAAGGTGTGAATGAATGAGAAAATAGCTAGTGGAGAATGCTAGGGAATGGGGGTAATCGGTGTATGAATCTGCCCAGGAATAGATTAGGGAATGGATTGTGCTTGATTGGAGTAAGGAATGGAGGGAGAATGAGAATAATTGTGGGAATGGAGAGATTCAAATGTGAAATGGATTGCGTTAGATGGGAATGGGTTGGAATAAGGGTTGCGAAATTGGTGAAGAATTGGGTGGGGTAATGAGCTATGGAATTGGGGTGAGGAAAGAGGATATTGAAAAAGGGGCGACTGGAGGAGCATGTGGTTTAACTAGGCGTCTATATCATCAATTGTCTGATAAGCTCACGGTATAAGGCGATGGATGATGCGATGGCGTCAAGGCTACCTAACAGATGAGTTAAACACACAAATTGAAGGTCAATGATTATCGTTCTGATCGGCGGAGCAGATCAACCAGCTTGGTGACGGACAATGCGATCGTATGAATGTAAATGAATGGTCGAATAGACAATGGATGACGGATGGGCCTTGATAGTCTGTCGGGGGTGGGATTGGGTGAATAGCCGAAAGTAGTACTGGCTCAACTAATGGACACAATGAAAGGTGACCAGACCTAGTGATGTAGACGTCATCATTACAAAATGTACCAAACTTGCATAAAGCAGTTCATCGGCATATCGATTCACTCGACTGTCTCAATCGGTTGCATGACATTATCGAAGTCAATGCCATCCCGATCCGGTTGGAGAGCCCGTGAACTTGATAACGGGCAAAACAGCTCTCATCCGCTAAGGACCTGGCCGGGCCTTTCATTGGGTTGCAAATCAAAATGACCCCAGACTGAGAGGTTAGTACAAGTGGTTACATAACCTGACCTAAACGCCTATAAGTTGACTTGTCATTACCTCAACCAAAGTTGATTACGGACTTACGTAATCTCGGTCTGGGCTTTTTATTGAGTCATTAAATCTTGATTGCATTAGCCTCTAACTTTGGACCGATATTGCACAGAGGCGTTGACACACGCACACACACTCGAACAAGGGTAGTAGGACCAATATGAAAGATGATTGGCTAACCATACTATATGTATGTATGCCTATTAATTTTATTTTGTTTAATTTATTCTATTTAAGAGGTTGGCTAGAGTCAGTGTGTCTTCTTGGCCTAGTGCTAACTTGGAACTTTTACAATAATGAGTTTCAGCTCTGATGAAGTCCATCAAATTATGGACCAAATCTCAGCCTCTTCTCACTCGAAGCAAGGCCGTATGTCTCGTGGACTGCATCAATCTGAACGTCGTATTAAAGTCAAACGGCTGCAGTAAAACGCGAATCGTCCATCATCTTCTGGAGAGATCAACCTACGAATCTCTTCTTCATTCCCATTCGTACGAAATGAAAGTCTCCCCAAAAAGTTGATATCAGAAGCTCCATCAAAATCCAGTTACTTTTCCTATCTATCATTTCCTGATGTTGTTCATATGCAATTCTACATTAAGTGTGAGATTTAGATGCAGAACAGCGCCATTAAGCCTAGTGGCCTTTTGATAATGTTTTTATCGGAGATGACAACAAATAAAGAGAAAATAGATCCTCTCTACGTAGAAACTGAAGCGTGAAGAGTGAAGACCAACATTGTATCAAATGGAATTCAGGGATGTGATAGCCTGTCTGTCCCAATTCGATTGGAAAGGCTGTTTCGTAACAGACTCGTACTGTGCCAGTTATTTCGCCAAGAGGATGGCTTCCCATTTGACTCGGTCGCCTCGGTGACACCATCTTGGATGTAATCCATCTCTACGCCCCGGTATGAAATAGAGGTGTTCAATTGCCTAGGAGACTGCAAATAATTTAACTGCTCGACTTCGGAAGGAGAAGCAGTCTGCTGTTGACAATGGTGCCCTATTTCGGTTGAGTGACCCAGCCACGTATCCAATGCGGTGGTCGAGGCTTCGCGTTCAATTGTACACTTGCAAAGTTCACAATAAATAGGCAAAGCAGACATATAATATAGATTCAATGTCAATCAATTTGTTTAAGAGTTCGTGATGCCGATTTCTTTTGCAAGAAATCATTTAAAATAGAAACACTTATAGGAAAACCCTTGCCTGATTGGGTCAACCCTCTTCTATAAATAAAAAGGAGACTGCGACCATACCGGAGGCCACAACATCTTGGTTTTCATATCTTTATAGTGTTGGTTCGACCTTGTTTTCGAAACTTGGTCGGAGCATCAGGCAGACCTTGTGGAACATGCTTAGTCCCGTGTCCTCTGCCAGAGTATTAGTGATTTCCAGCATTAGACCATTGGCTGGGTATATTTCCAAACATTTCGCCGGCATCGTAGTCGGCGTCGTCAGTGATAGGTGCCATCGTAAGCACGCAGTTACAACTTATCAAAGTGACAAGTCTGTTGACCCTCCAACAAAGTAGCGAAAACAAAGTCGAACCAACATTGGAAACCCAAAGTTACATCCTTTCTTCTTTATTCACTAACGACTCCTCTTAAAGTTCGTATACTTCGTTCAATGATGCTTTCTTATCTTCACTCTTCCCATTTAATTTCTTCTCATGTATTGTATTTTTACTGTCTCCTCTGTATAACAATATTCTTCTTAATGTTTTGCACTTGAGCATAATGAAATGTATGTTAACATGACTATTTTTATCAGGATCACATATTTTCTTTACATTATCTGAAATCAATCTTATATATAGAGACAGTAAAGAGCAGTAATTTTTTGCAATTACCATTTGCTAATAAGATATTTCAAGGATGTCAAATGAATGATAAGATAGCGAAAGAGAAAAACACGCTATTGTCGCATGAGTAGCAATCACACTTCAGCCTTGGCGCACCAGTGACAAGAGCAATCAAGCAATTATACTTAATTCGCCACTAGCAACTAAACTAGAGTGATATTGATGCAGGGTAGGGGACCCGTGAGTAGTTCACGAAACGTTCAAAATAATCTCCGGCTTTTGCCAATCACATGAACTAGAAACATAACTAGGTGTACATACGATGGCAGGTGAGCCAGTGCTTATCCGGGGGTTTGTCAGATAATTGAGCTTGAAAATAATAAGCAAGAACCGATTGAAAGCGATAGAGGATTACTTTGTTCGTAGAGCAAACTGTTATTAGTAATGGGTTGAAACTTCACTCACCATGTAAATGGACTCATCAGGGCCCAGATCAGACTCTGATCGGATCAGCATGCATGCTGTATGAAGCATATATACGAGGGTACAAAGAGATTAGAAAGAATTATATGAAGGGTACAGAGAAGATGAGACTAGCTTCAGCTGACCTCCGCACAAAGGCCCTTACTGCGTTTATGGCTGTGATTATAAGCTTAACAATGATTCCGACACGTGGCTCACTACCAGATTTCTGATTATCAAGCAGATTCACCTGGCTGACCTTAAGATTGGGCCAGCCAA